CCTCTAGCCCCTAGAGATAGAACTAAGCAACAGCCTTGACTTCCTGACTACTTGGGGACAGCTCTGCCTTGGTTGGGATGCAGCTTGGCAGGGCCTGCACTTGCTAAGAACCCCAGCACAGCTTGGGTCAATTCCCCATCAGCCCCCCCCCCCCCCCCCCCAGCTCTGTCTTCTGCTCAAAGAAGGCCAGCCTGTCCAACCACTGCCACTTCCCAACCTCAGCAGCCTTTGCCAGCAGCCCAACTGCACCGAGCCGGAACCTCGTGTCTCCGCCCATGACCTCCGAGGGTCGGCCACCGATGTTGGACATCATTCATTGGTTCCAAGGCAGAAAGGCCAGAATAGAACTCCTGGGCCTGCCGAGGGGGTCCTTACATAGAAGCCGGTAGCACAGCTGCTGGGTTTGACTCCGGGACACCGTGTGGGGTGGGGAATCCATTCTCCGGAGTAACGAGAGGCAGGCCCTGGGTCTAGGAACACACACATGTCTAATGTGCTAAAAGCATCTTCGTGGGACACGTTGAGAGAGAGAGAGAGAGAGAGAGAGAGAGAGAGAGAGAGAGAGAGAGAGAGAGGTGGCGGGAGAGAAAAGCAGCTCTTGTAGCCACAAAGGCCAAGCGACGGGCCACGCCAGCACCGTGGCCACCCCGGCACGCAAAGGGTGAAGCTTTTAGGCGAGCGGCGGCCGGTGATCTCAGCTTCTCCCCGTCCTAATGCTCCTGAAAGGCTCTCTCCCGCTCCCTGTAATTGGGCATCAGTAGTTAATGCAGTATTGACTGCATTACACGCTCCCGTGCCTCCCCTCGCTAATGCCAATTGCATCACCTTGTACAGTCACCGGCTTGCTTGGCCAATAGCCGTTAAAAGCAATCCAAATCATGAATCATATGGGAAACTTTTAGCGAGACACCGCCATCCAAGGAGACAATTTACAGTTGAGTTAATCTGGGTACATTAGCGAGACATGGATTCTGGACGACAGACCAATTTATGTTGTTTCCCTGTCCCCCGCCTCAGTGCTCCATGTGGGCAAGTGAATGGAAAGAGCCGGGAACAGAGAGGAGCACCTGCTTCTTAACCCGCGCTCAGAGAGGGGGTGGAGGAGACCCGTCTTTACAGACTCCCACCCTTGGGCAGGAAGGGGAAGTGGCTGTGCGTGCCGCTCAAGACTTGCGATGCTTCCTTCCCAGCCGTGAGGAGGCGGCTGCTGCTCAGGCGGGCATGGTAGGTGCAGATGGAGACCCTCCGAGTGCCAGGCCGGATCCCCACCCTGCCAGCCTTCCAAGGCCTTTCCCAGGCCTCAGGAGGCAGTAGTGCCCGCTGGGATCCACCTTCCTGTTGACCTGCTGGGATCTCTGCTGTGGAACAGTGCCAGGGCCCACTCCCTGCCTCTGCTCCAGGCCAGGGAAGGCCCCCAGGACCCTCTGTGGTCCAGAGCACAATGGGATATCCCAGGAGGTCCTGCAGCTCAGCACCCAAGCAGAGCCAAGAGCCTGCCCTCATGGATCAGCTGCAGAGGCTGTGCTCACGGCAGTCATTAACAATTGAAGATTCGCTGTCTGGTCCTTCCCAGGCCAGCTCCACGCTCCCTGGGCATTTTTACTTATTAAAAATGCTCTAGGAATCATGTCTGGCTTTTGGTTCTACAGCCTGCTCGCTGCTTCCCGTGGTCACCCCAGCCTTTGAGGAGGCGGCTGACACCCAGACCCACCCTTCGGCATGGACACACCAGCACCCCCTAAAAGGGTATCCCCAGCATCTTCTCCTGCCCATTCCCCCGCAATCCAAGGCTCTCATTGTTCTTGGGGTGGCCTGGACCCTCTGCTCTCTGCCCCTACCCCCGGGCCTCTCCTCCACAAGCTAATTTGGCTCCTAGGACTCAGGACAGTAGCTCTCTGCTCCCCCTCAGGGCTTGAAGCCTCACCGGAAAGCCCACCGCCTGGTGCCCGTCCCAGCGCAGGTGCCAGGGAACGGAGGGCTGCTTCTCCGGGAAAGGGGGAGCTGGGCTTCCTCTGCTGACAGGCAGACCCGACGGCGTTGAGAGAGCCTGGACCCTGGGTTCCAGTAAAGTGGAAATGGCGAGGCCAAGAGCAAGCGTCCAAATGAAAGCAATTAATCATAAAACCCGAAGTTTAACCGTTTGCAAAACAGATCTTTCCTCTCTGTGGTGGCCCTTCGCTGCTCGACCTAATGGATTACTTTATTAATAATGCACTGTGCTTAAAAGCAAAAAAAAAAAAATTTTTTTTTCCTGACGATTCAATACTTCAGAAAGTCTCTTAAACCCGTTGCCACGGCAAAGCGATTGATATTTTATTATCTTTCAGAAGTGCAACATGAAAGCCCAGCAGCCCAGCGGAGCAAGAGCTTTGGTCCGTGGCAGCTGGCAGACCCAACTTCAACCAGAGGGGCCCCGGCCTCTTCCGACAAGAAGCTGTCAGGTGGAGACAAGGCATTGGGGGTGGTTAACAAGAGCCCCCAGTCCCTGCTGCAGCCAGACAAAGGGTGCAGGGACCTCGCCCCGAGGAACACCCACCCCCGGGGGCCAATGCTGCCACCCAGCCCACACGGCCACCTGCGGAGAGGGCATGCGTGCTGGGGAGAAAGGAGGCAGCAGGTTTAGAAGGGCAGGTGAGCGCATCCAGAGCCTTTCTCCCTCCCCCAATGACAGGTGCCAGCTTCAAGGTTTTGTGGAACCTGGAGAGGCCAGACTCCAGCAGGGAGCAGAGGGTGGATTGATGAGCAGAAAGGTTACTTTGCGGGGACAGTTCCGGGCAGGACAAGAACCCAGTGCTCCTCGGGGCTCTGGCTGTCCGCATGCCTTGTGCTGTCATGGGCCCCAGAGCTCACTGGCATCAACGAAAGCGGGCGCCGTACTGTTCAGACTGGACAAGGTGGGGCACTGAGGGGCACCACATGCTCTCTGCCCCAAGCTTGGAGGAAACACACGTCTGGGGCGGTTGGCGTGCACTGCAGGCTGGAGGCAGGACACTGGCTCAAAGGACCTCCAGAGAGCCATTCCCACTGCAGGGCTCATCGGAACGCCTTTAGGATCACAGAGCCCACAGCACTCTGGGTGCCTGGACAGAGAGCCACCCCCGAGAGGTCCATCTCTCTGCCTGGGGCCTCCCAAATAGAGGGCCCAGCCTTCTGGATTTCTGGCTTGGACCTAGAGACACATCCAGACTTCCACGTGTTTCCCACGGTGAGCGTACCCCCGGCACCAAGTGAGACCCCGGCGCTGGCTCCTCGCGGCGAGGTCCCCGCATTTCACCAAGCGGGAGAATGAAGTCTAGAGGTAAGCATGACTGGTCTGAGCTAACACAGCGAGTTAGAAACAAGAGGGGCTAACGCAAGGCCTCCTTCCTCCCCACGCGGCCCGGCCCGAGTCCTTCTTTTCGTCCCATACACCACGAGAGCAGCCCAGTCCTCGGATGGCCCCCACAGGGCTCCGGGGAAGGGGTCCCCGGAGAGAGAAGAGCATACAGGAGGCGGATGTCACACCCCAGCTAGGCGCGGGCCAATGGATTCTTGTGGACAGAAGCATTGCGTTCCCTCCTCATCTCTTACTACACACACACACACACACACACACACACACACACCCGAGAATCAGCCTTCGTGGGCTTACTGGCCACAGGGCTCCTGCACTTGCCACCCTCAGGCCAGACACTTCAATTGCCCCTCCCGGCTGGGGATCTCAGAAGGTCAAGGGGAATCTAGGGGCATCAGCACGTGGTAGCAGCAAAGCGAACCTCCTGGGTGACCTTGAGCAAGGGACTTAACGTCAAGTATTTGCCAAGCGACCCTGTCAGTAGCACCGTTGGCCGGGTGAGCAGAGGGCACAGGCCCAGTGGAGACTCACTAGGAGGTCAGAGGATGCCAGCACAGTCGCCCCAACTCGCAGAACACCCACCTTCCAGCTCCTTCCCAGTAGCAGCCTGCGTGCCAACTGTTACACAGACATACCTCTCCCTACAGCTAACACATGGAGCCACCCTCACCTCCGGGGCAGGAGGGCCTGGGACAGCCGGGGGGCGGCCTCTCTTCGGACCCTGGGGGCTGTGCTTGGGTCACAGGACACCCACTTGGTTTTACCCTCGAGGGGGACTGGGTTCTCCAACCTCTCCTGTGCACACCAGACGCTCAGTGCAGGGCATCCCCAATCAGGAAGGCTTTGGAGTCGGAGGGGCCACCTGCTAGTGGCCTACAGCAACCACGGACCCCCTCCGTTCTGACCTCTGAGGAGCCCCGAGGATCCTGGCCACGGCAGGTCCATGGTCAGGATCCTCCTTCGCGGGCCACTCCTACCGGAGTGCCACCAGCCGGTAGCGCGACACTTTCCTCCTCTGGGCCAAACTCCGGTCTCCGCGCCCAGGAGACCGGGAGGCTGCAGGAGGCACCTCATCCTTGTGGGGAGCTACCTCCCCAAGGGTCCAGCCCGCCTTCCCCTCGCCCGCCTGGCACCCCAGGGCGGGTGTCCTCCTCCCGAGCGCGCGGCTCGCCGCAAGCCCTGGAGCCCGATTTTCCAGAAGCCACAGATTTGCCCAGCGCTCAGCACCCTCTAGAGTTACGCGGTGGCGGCGGCGCCAGGGTGATGGCTGCGGTGAGAGGAGCAGCCGCAAGACGAAACGCTCTGCATGAGCCGCTGCCACCGCTGCACGGAGATCTAACGGGAGCCGGAGCCTCTGGCCCGCGCAAAGCTCGCCTGCCCGCCCGCCCGCCCGCCCGCTGCCCCGGCCCGGGAGCCCGCACCCAGGGACTGACTCACTCCCCCCTCTCCTCCCCAGTCCCCCTAGGTCCTGCCCGCCCCTACCCCGCCCCCGCCCCCGCCCGGCCCCCCACACCCATGGCCTTGGGCCCCCCACACCCATGGCGCTCCCACCGCGATCCCAGCCCAGCCTGGCAGATGCGCGCCCCCCGTACCCCCGCCGTGTGTTCCCGCGCACCCTGGTGTAAGGGGGGAGGTACCCCGCATCGGACCTCCGCCCGCCACCTACCGTCCTCCTTGTCCAGCACCATCATCTCGGGCGCTCCGTGTCCAGCCGCCGCGGCTCGGCTCGGCCGGGAGAAGGGCGCCGACTCCCGGAGCGCTTCGGCGGGGAGGCCGGTCCTCGGGCAGCGAGCGGCGAGCGGGCTCTAATGACCCGCTTGTCCGGCTCTTAACCTAGATTGCACTCAGCTAGAATTACATTCAGGAGCGAAGCACTTCGCAGATACAAAAGCCGTCTCACCTACTTTTGTGCCTCAGAATTGAAGGAACTACGAACTGCAATTTAGAGAGAGAGAGAGGAGGAGGGTGAGAGAGAGAGAAGGGGAAGAGAGGATCAGAGCCGTTTCTTTGATTCTCACCTTCTAAATGGCTCAATTTGCCCAGTATAATCTGTCTTAATGTAATTGCATTTGATAGCTCATAACCCGGGCTCTGCCAACGACACTGGCTTTCAGCTTCATAAAGTGTTTTCCCCTCGGATTTAATCTGAATCTCAATCTAAAATTATATTCAAAGAGATGGGGGGAATCTCGGCGGCTGTCTCCCGCTGCCTTTCTCTCTCAATGTATGAGGTTTGCACTCCTGCTACTGAATAAATGCACACATTTTCCAGAGCACCCCCCTCCCCTCCTTCCTCCGGGTTAATGGGGAGTGGAAACCCGCGGCTGCCGGCTCCGCAGCGCCACCTGGAGGCCGCTCGGCCCCAGCTCGGCGCGCGGCTCCGCTCAGGCAGGACCCTGGGTCCTCATCCTGGAGATTAGTCTGAAGGACCCCTTGTCTGTCACTCCCAGCTTCCCAGCCTTGATTTCTGCTCCCCTCTCACCAGGAAAATCTTTCTCTGACCTCCTACCCTCTCTTCCTACTTGCTCTGCCCCCGGGGTTTCTGGTTATTCCCTGGACCTTTTGGCAAAGTTAAACCCCATGCCTTGCACAAACTCTTCCACTGTGAATGTCACAGGAACACCTTTTACCCCAGCAGCCCCTTCCCTCACAGGGCATCCCGATTCCACAGAAACCTGGATCCTGTCTTAACTTCTCCCTGAGCAGGCACAGCATGGCACTGAAAGCTTTTCTCATTCTACCACTGTTGGTTGAGCATGTATTATGTGCCGAGCCCTGTTCTAAGGCACTGGGGACACACGGCAGTGAGCAAAGCAAAGATTCCTGCTATTACAGATCTCGCAGTTCTTGCTCTGTACCTCAAGAGGCAGGAGGGGGACAGTGTCCAGCTCCTTTCCCCCGGAACCCTGTCTCCCCAGAGCCCTGGGGGTGGTGCCCAGGCTGCCAATTCCAGGAAGGCCACTCAATAACCAAGCACGCTTTCTCTTGACAGGACAGAGTTCCAGGGTGGGATGGAAATCTTAATCACTTTTTCCCCAGCCCATGGAGGGCTCCAGACAAATATGTCCAAGGCTCAATCCTGGTAGTCCTCCTGAGGACTAGACCCAGGCAAGGGGAAGGGAGCCGAAATCCCTGGAGTGGCCAAGAACCACCAGTTGGGACGTCACACCCTCTCTACCTATTATCATCAGTGGCTTAGCAAACCACGTTCTCTCTCTGGGTCTCACGGAGACCTGCTCTTCTATCTCCCAAGGTTTCGGTGGGGATCAGATGGCATACTGTATGTGCATGTGCTTTGCAAACTGTGGCACCCCAGACCATGAGGGGGTTTCCCGAGTCCAAAGGAGACCTGGAGGCCAGGCTGTGCCCTGTAAGCCCTGGAGGCCCGATGGCGGTGCCTGACAGGGCTGAGGAAAGGAGGAGCGGGAGCCGTGCTGCAGCGGGAAGCCGGGCTTTGGGAAAACAGGAGCGAGGCGGCTCCTAATGAGATGCCTCATCTGCAGCTCAGAGGGTTTTGCTTTCCTCTTCATCTTGAATACTTAATCCTAATAGTCCTTGAGTATAGTTGGTATTAAATATATCATCTTGCTCCGTCAGGCCATCCCTCAGGACTGTGGGCTTGATCTCTCCTCTGCCACGGCAGCCGGAGCTGTACCCTGAGGGCCTGAGGGAGCCTTTGGCTCTGCTGCCACTGGTTCATGTAGTGCCAGCCCCTCACACACACCCCCATTTGAGCTGGGGGCCAGACGGTGCAACAAGCAATGGGCCTGGCAGGCTGGCAAGGGGCAGCTTCTTGCTTGTAGACACCTCTGGGCAATCTTGCTTTACTTGTGACCTCCAGGACAGCTTCTTCTCACCTCCAGGGGCTGGCCCTGACCCACAAACCAGGACTTGACCAGCTGGGGCCACTTCTCCCCTGTCTTTTCCATGTGCTGTGCTTGGGACGTGGTCCCAACACCAGCTCTCCCAGCCTCCAAGGTAACCAGCTAGCAGCCACATGGCCAACATCCCTTTGGGGAGGCAGGAGCCCTCTGTGCCCACTCAGGGACTGAAGCTGGCCTGGGTGCTAAGGGGTGGACTACGGAAACGGGCTGGGTATGTCAGTAGGGGACTGGTGCTGTGTGTGAAGGACTGCTTGTACCCAGAAGTGGCTGTCTCTGCACCCCCCAGTTGTGAGCATTGAGCTGCCACCCTGATCTGGAAAGGGGCCTCCGTAGAGATTGGTGCACAGAGCTACCCAGCAAGCCTTGAGGGTTTGGATGGTCAGGAAGGGGCCTGCTGGGTTGGCAGAGGCAGACATGCCCCTCACTCGTCCAGGGGCCTTCCTCTCAGCTCATGGGTAACTGTTGGCCAGGCAGGTAATTCCTGTGACCATGCTCACCCCCACCCACAGCACCAGGGTGGAATCCGCAGGTCCCCTGGGGCTGGAGGGGGTAGCTTGCATCGGACACATTCCACAGGTGATGAGAATGCACTCCCTCGGACACTACCACCTACAGTGCTCCAGAATGCCCTTGACATGCCTCTGGGGAGCCACATGATCAGCCCCCAAGATTACCGCGAGGAGAAAGGGGTTATTACTGGCCACCTTACAACATTCTGGGCAGGTCCCAGCAGTCTGTCACTGCACCTGGGAGGGAGGTCCTGAGGAAGGGTTCCTGCATTGGGAGTGGGAAGGGAGCGGGAAAACGTGGCGCCCGAGGGCCCGGGCAGACCAGATATTCCAGATCTCCTCAGTGGAGGCTGTCAGATATGCCTGCACCTGAGGCCCGCTCCCAACACACTGCGACTGTCTTCAACAGGGGCTTACAAACTGGTTTTGCAAGTGATGCTCAGAGAGGTCTTCAAAGTGACAAGGGCCCCTTCCCTGCGGCTACCACAGTTGACAAGACAGTGAACCTATAGACTTTGCAGTGCCACCAGGACGCCCACTGGCCACATTCAGATGCCCTGCCCTGCCCCCTAGCCACACAAAAGCAGCCCGTGCACAGAAACTGCAACCAGCTAGAGTGGCGAAGTGCACGCTTTTCCAAATCCTTTGGTTTCTGGAAGCCCTGGACAGGCCTTCTAGGAGCTGAAGCTATAATCCATCAGGCCTTGCGGAGGCTTAGACCCAATCTGCACCCCAGAAAACAAGTCTCTCTTTCCCACCCCCTTGCAGAAGGCTAATCCATCCCTGCACCACAGCTCTGAGAGCTTGCGGATGTAAGCTGTCCAACTGTCCCAGGCTGCCCAGGATTGATCAAATGGCCCAGGATGTAGGACTTCCCATGCTCAAACGGGGTGGACCTGGCAAACCATGCCAGTTGCTCACCATAGAAGGAGGTGGTAGGTAGGGCAGGGGACTAGGGGAGCCAGAGAGAAAGGCCAGTCAGCCAGACCCTTCCTGCAGGCCAGCAGCTGCCTCCCAGCCCAGCATTTCTTAGCCTTCCAACGCAGGGCTTCCTCTCCCAGGCACCCAGGAGCTCCTAGCACCTGGGGAGGGTGGATGGGCCAGTGGGGCTGTGAGCGGGCCTGAGAGACTGGCCGTTAGCATGGACCCGGGGCTGGATCCAGATTTTGTGAGAGCCAAACTTACTTATGCAACTGGGGGAAAGAGGATTCTTCAACAAAAGGAACGCAAGATCACCAAAATGAAGCTTAAACTTCATTAGCTTCCAGATAAATCCGCCCCCTGATATTTTGGATATATGGTCCATAGCCCGCAGGGCACCTCCTATCATGCTAGGTAGAGGGGGGGGGAGGAAGGGGGGGCAAGACTGATGGTGAGCGCCCGCTCCAGTCCCCCCAGAGGTGAAGCAATGTCACCTATCCCGCACAGCTAGAAGTTCCAGACCCAGGAACCTCAGAACCATGCTGGTTTGACTCCAGCCTCAAGCCCAGGTTCTCAGGGCATCTCCCCGGGAGAACCATTTCACAGTCCGATACAAAACTGGGGGCATGCAGACACCCCAGGAGGGAGGCTGGGGGGCTGGGGGTCGGCGGGCACTGCGGGGAGGCGCGGAGAGGACAGGCGCTCTCGGTGCCCGGGAGGCGGCAAGAGCCAGGGAGAAAGTTCTCGGCCGGAGCGTGTGGGGTTGGCTGGCTGGCTTGGGGTGGCCCGTGGGACTTCCTAACGCCGCTGCGGAGCCTCGGGGGGCCGGGCCTGGCACCCTCGTTCTCCCCTCCTTCCCCCCGCCCCCCCCCCCCCCCAGTCCCGCCGCCGCGCTTCCCGGCAGCCGCCCAGCGCCCGGAGCCGATGGGGCTGGCACGGGGGCGCTGCGGCCGAACGCGGGGTGGCCTCGGCAGGCCCCCCGCTCCCCCCCACCCTGCACCCCGCGCCCCGCGCGATCCCCGGCACCTACCGTCCCCCGGGTCCAACACCATGGTCCCCCGGCGGCTCCAGCCCGCGCGGGCCCAGGACGCGGAGGGAGGGCGCGCGGCTCCGAGTCCGCCTCCGCCGCCGGCTCTGCTCCGCCGGCCCCGCGGGCTCCGCGCCTCGCGAGCTGCAGCCGCTGACGGACGAGGGCGGGCGGGCGGGCGGGCGCCCGGAGCTCGGCCCCGCGGACGGGGGCGGGGGAAGGCGGGGGCGGGAGGGGCGGGGGTGCGTCGGTCCGTCGGTCCGTCAGGCCGGGATCGCCGGAGCGGGGCGCGCTGCCTCTCCCGGGCCCGGCCGCGCCGCGCTCCCGTCCTCCCTGCGCGCCCGCCGCGCTCGCCGCAGCCGCAGCGGAGTGCAGCCTGCGTTTCCCAGGGCCCCTCCGATCCCCCTGTTAATTAAATCAATTCATTATGCTCGGATCTGATTAGCGGCCCTTCCCCCCGCTTTGAATCAATTATTCAATACACAAACATAATTGCCTGGGCCAGAGGTGCCCGCCATTAGCTTATTTAACTCCAAGGACACTAATTACCCGCAGGGCACGGGAACTTTTCTCATTAATTCTGACAAAACACAAAAGCACAGCCAGAGTGTGTGCGTGTGTGAGCGGCTCTGTGTGTGTGTGTGTGTGTGTGTGTGTGTGTGTGTGTGTGTCCGCATGCCACAGAGTGAGGGCTGGGGGTGTGTGAGCTGGGGATGGATGCGCCTGGGGTGGCAGAGTGGGTGCGATTGCGGGTGGGAGTTTGGGGATGCCGGTTCTGAGATGGGGACCCCGCGGATGTGAGCGTGGGGCTCTGTGGGTGTGTGGTGATGGGGGGGGGGAGGGGCGCCGGGGCTGTAGGCGTGCATCAGGGTGGATGTGTCTACGGGTCTGGGCACTGCGGGCCAGGGTGTGGGACCCAGCACAGGGCTGTGTGAGATTGTGTGAGTGCTGGCTTCTGTGTGTGACTTTGGGAATGTGACTCCAGGGCGACTGTCCCAGGCGCCTCTGCCCCCTTTATTTATTTATTTATTTATTTATTTATTTATTCATAATTGATCCACCATTGCCCACGGCACGCTCGGACCCACGGAGGAAAGTGCAGACAGACCGCAGAGGAGAAACCGGGGAAGATCAGGAGACAGTGGATGGGTGGGTAACGCTGGAGCCTGGCTGGAGCAGTGACCCCTCCCCATCACCCCTCCCCCCACACATCACCCATCTGTATACTGGTCCCCTAGTTATAAACCCAAGGTTTCCATCTAATATTTCCCCACTCTCCACTTTTATTCCAAAGCCCTCCGGCGCCCTGCACCCGTTCACCCACATCCCCACAAGTGCCTGACACCCAGGCACACCCGGCCCAACTCCATTCACCCTGTGCCTAGTTCTTAGCCTCCTGTCTGCAAGGCTGAGCCAAGGGTGTCCTATGCTTGGCCAACTTCTCCACACTCTGCCTCCCAGGAAATCTCTATTGAGAGAGAGGAGGGAGAGAGCCCGCAGAAGCAGGGACACAGAGGGTAATTGATTCCCCCAAATTAGGTTTCTGCTTTCTAAAGACCGGCATTGTTCCTGCTCTCAATGTGCACAGAGGTATTGAAGATTTCCTTTTTGTTTCCTCGGGCAATGAATGAGCTTAATCCATTTGGCTTTATAAATCAGGAAACTAATATTCGCTCCTTCCATAGCAGCTTTTTTAAAAATTTAATTGCTGCGGGAGGCACAGTTTGTCACCCTGATGCTGTCCCCAAGCCCCTACTTACAAAAGCACATTCTGATTGAGGGGTCCAGAGGAGTGGGAGTGGGAGTGGGAGGGAGAGCTCCTCCTGACTCCTCCTGCCCGCCTCCATCCTTGCATATGGACCCACGCAGTATCCGGGAAAGGGTGTGACATGACCGAATGGATTACATCCAGTGCAGTGATGGAAAGGGGAGTGTTCAGAGGTGTTCTTCAGAATGATCTCCCAAATCTGCTGTTTGCAGTCTCCCATTAGCACTGGAAATAGCCATGCCGTGCCCAGGTTTGGGAAGTCTCCTCCTCACCATCCTGCACACGTCTCCAGAGTCATCTTCCTGGTGCCCAGATCTGACCCTGCTACTCTCCCGCTCAAAAAATCTTTCATGGCTCCCCACTGTCCACTGACAAAGCCCTAACTATGTATTCTATCACTAGAGGCCCGGTGTACAAAATTCATGCACTGGTAGGGTTCCCAGGCCTGGATGGCGATCAGGGTGACTGGCAGGGCAATCGTGGGGTTCCGCTGGCACACCCCCGCTCATCAGCCCTGCCCCTTGCCACTGCCACCAATCGCCTCCCTCTGTGGGGTGACCAGTAGGGCAATTTTGAGGGAAGGACCCATCTTGGCTGGCCTGGGGACTGCAGGCTGGGGGCAGCTCCTTTATTGATTGTCTGCCTCCTGATGGTCAGTACCCATCATAGCAATTAATCGTTCTGTCGTTTGCTCAATGTGCACATTAGGCTTTTATTATATAGGCTTTCAGGCCCTTCATGAGATCTGGAGAAGCCTTTGTGAGCACCACGACCCTTCACTTTAATTCAATATCTATTGAGCAATAAAAATCTTACATTCTGCCCTGGCCAGTGTTTCCCAGTGACTAGAGCATTGGCCTGCAAACCAAAGGGTTACGGGTTCAATTTCAGTCAACGGTACATACCTGGGTTGCAGGATCCCCACCCTGTTTGGGGTGCGTGCTGGAGGCAACCGATTGATGTGGCTCACTCACATCTATGTTTCCCTCTCCTCTCCCTCTCCCCACATCCCTTCCACTCTCTCTAAAATCAATGGGGAAAACACACTCCAGTAAGGTTTAATAAAATGAAAGCTTACATTCCTGCCCCTCTGGACTGGTTTGCTGTAATTCAATACACCTTGCAGGCTCCTGTTCCAGTGACTCTTCCTTTAGCAGCCTTTTCTCAGAAAGCCCTTGCCCACCTCTCCAGTCCCAAGGAAACGTCTCCCCTACGTCCTTCAGCTGCTAAGAGGGTGTCTGTTTGGGAAGGCTTGGTTGCTGAGTGGATGAGTGGACTGTAGATTATTCCATCGAGTCCTGGGGCATAAGATCAGCCGCTGAGAGCCTGGTTTCAGCTCTCCTCTGGAGTGGGGACAGGTGTGCTATCAAGAACCTACACGGGGTCCCTGGAGAAAACGGGAGCTGCAGAGGCAGGGGAGGGTTTTAGATATAAGAATGAAGGCTCAGAAGGAGAGAGCTTTGGACACTATCTTTTTCTCCAGGATTTTGGATGGCATGGGACCAGGACCCAGGCACATGCTTCCTCTGGAAGCCCACTAGTTGGATCTCCACACTGTTTAGTTCTTTGTGTAGCTACATATGGCCACTGCCTAGATTGGTGCCAGCTGTTCCCTGCACTAGGGCACCTGGCCAACAGGGCAAGAGGGAGCTGAAATTCTGCCCTCTCTTTGCTCTCCAAGCCATATGCTTGGCATGGACTGCATCCACCCGAGAGGGCACAAAGGCACCACATGGACTAGTGTGGCCCTGCCATTGGGTACTTGTGCTTAGCCAGAGTTCTCTTAGAGAAGCCAGCCTGAGGGGTGAGTGCCAGCCTCCCCTCCCCCCACCCTCACTTGCACCAAGGGCCTGTGTGAACTCTTAGAAGACCAGCCTGCTGGTTTTCACAGAGAAAGAGAAAATTCAGAGAGCTTGGCCATTAGGGAGTGGTCGGGATACTGAAACAGATGCCCAGCTCCATCTCTGAATGTCTACGGGGCCCCAAGCCCTGGTGAAAGACACTGAACTCCATCCACAACTGAGATTCAGAGAGGGACAGGCCTACTACAAGGACCAAGGCTCCCAATGGGGGCCAGGCTGGAGGAGGGACAGTGAGGAGACCCTCCTGGGGGAACTAGACTTGAGCCACCAGCCTTGGAAAGGCAGAGCTGGGCCTGACCTACTTCCTGTCAGCACTTTGGGCAGTGGTGCGAATGAGAAGCTGGATCACTCAGGGCCCTACCACTTTGCTGTGGGATCCGCCCCTGAAAGAGGTTTTTTAGAAAACGTTATCTCCCTGTTGGGCCGTGAAGGGCAAAAGCAGCCAGGGTCAGCAGCTTTGTGGCATTGGCAGTAGCGCATGAATGGAATACACACAATACAATGGCATGAGTATTGGGCAGCAGCTCTGATTATATAGGAGGCACCTGTCTTCTAGCCCAGTGATCGGCAAACTGAGGCTCTTGAGTGTGGCTCTTCCACATAATATCACGGCCTGGGCGAGTCTATTTTTTAAAAAAATATATATTTTATTCATGTTTTTACAGAGAGGAAGAGAGAGGGATAGAGAGTTAGAAACATCGAAGAGAGAGAATCATCGATCAGCTGCCTCCCGCACACCCCCTACTGGGGATGTGCCCGCAACCAAGGTACATGCCCTTGACCGGAAACGAACCTGGGACCTTTCAGTCCGCAGGCTGACGCTCTCTCCACTGAGCTAAACTAGTTTCGGCTGGGCGAGTCTATCTTGAAGAAGTGGTGTTAGAAGAAGTTTAAGAGTTTAAGTTTCAAAAATTTGACTCTCAAAAGAAATTTCAATCGTTGTAGTGTTGATATTGGGTATCTGTTGACTAATGAGTTTGCCGACCACTGTTCTAGCCTATCAACCCCACCTCCCAACTCTGGGGTTGTTAGAGAGAAAATGACTTTATCCAGAACTCAGAATCTAGTAGGTGTCCAGAGGGGACTTGGGTTACGAGTGTAAGCATGTTTAGAGGATCCCACAACTTTTTTGAGAGGAGGATCCTGAAGAGGAGAATCAGAGCATCAGAATTTGGGGCTAATTATTGTGAATGTGTGAGCTTTGGCACTCGGCATGTATGGTCTTTAAGTTCCAACCTGTCTTAGCTAGATGACAGGCATGCAGGGCAAGGCTGTGTGAGCAAGAATGGGCCGGAACAGAGCAATAGGGGAGCAGCCCCACCACCAGCTTTGCATGGCGGCAGTGGAGCTCCACAGGAGACTCATAGGGCAGCTCTGCCTCAATGCCAGGAAGACCAAAGGCTTTGCTCTCACTGCCCCTCCTCTCCAGGAGGGCCTCTTGGAGCCATGCTTGCTCTCCTATGGATTTTCATCTCATTTGTCTTCTCTTCTCCCCAATCATCTGGTCCTGCTGTTCCATG